TCTGCAGAATATCTGCAGAATATCTGCAGAATATCTGCAAAATGTCTGCAGACCTTCGTCTGCAAAACGTGAGTTGAATTGCAGACGTTCTGCAGACGGTGTGGAATTTGGTTGACTCTGCTGAGCAGATGAACAGCAGATGAACAGCAGACAAAAAGCAGACGAACAGCACCAATCAAATGTTGTTTATTTTAACACAAAGCTATACAAAAGGATCTGTTTTTCTTCAACAGCTAAATGTAAGAGACAGTGTTGACAGCTACTCAGATGACAACTGGAATTTAAGCTATTTTATTAGTGTGACACATTCTAGTAGCATCCACTCCCTGCAAAAATTCCAATCCCGCTAGCAAGATCAATAGCTCTGTAAAAAACGAGTGAAAAAGTAAGCAAATGAGCCAATATTTAAGCCTAATGTAGTGCTCAGTTTCTGTTCCTGTGGAATTTCCATGTTGTTTTTCACTTGCTCCACTACATACATCGATAGATCATTGATGTGATGTGAGGCTGTGACCGCCTGCGACTGATCTATAGCTTGCCGTCACTATCACCAAAAAGTGAGTGGGTACATTCATTTTAAACATTATAGTAGGCCTTTTTATTGCTTAAATGAATAATTTCGGCAATGAACGAAGCCGTTCCTAAATACGTTGATCGTCTCCTAAATCGAAACATTATGAAAAACTTTAAAATGCCTGGCACAGTCTTTAAATGGACTCACATGGCATTTCTAAACAAATATCATACTTCAGGGGTCAGAGTATAATTACACGAGTGTTTCGAGTGTGTTGAAGACGTCTACATTTTATAGTATGCCTAATACTCTGATATGTTTCTCCCGGGATTTTGCTTGCAAAAATAAACTCCAAAGCCAACTGATAGTGTTTGAAGCGCGTGACATTTCTAATCCTAATATTCCAGACCGCCAAACCGGGCTAATTGCTTTAAAATCACTTGCCGGTTGCCGGGTTTTCTAGACACAGCGTTTTTGCTTNTCCTGGTGGTTCCGCAGGACAATCTCGTGAGCATTTTAAGGCCCAATTCAAATTAAAGACTACCTATCTGACCGGCCTCCTCTGACAAATTGAAAGTGCCCTACATTATCTATTTACTCTGTTATATCTGTATTTTTAGTTACTTGCAGTTCCTTCAGTTTCTTTCTTTTGGCTGTTCCCACTTTATTTGTCAACATTCTGTTCATCTGGCTAACTGGAAAGTCCACATTGTTTAAAGTAGCAAACCTTCCAGAATATGCTAAAAAGATATCAGAACACAGGATCATTATAAACAAAAAAAATATTAATTTCAATACAAGTATAGTCATTTCTCGTGAAGAATGGATCTGAAGCTTTAGACATTAGCAAATTGCGCACTGGCGTTTGATTAATGTGTTTGTGCTTTTAGTGTTCTTGAAGATCATGATGCTTGATGACACTTGCCTTTAATGGTGTTCACTACATCCTGATTTAAAGCCTTGCCTAAGGATGCTGTGCTTGTCTTCGCACGTGATCCGTGTGCAAGACTTGTCGCCAGTGTTTCCTCGGAAAAGAAAGCCTCGACGAGAAGCAGGAACAATTTTTGTGGGTGTGTTCCACATTGACTGTGGATGGAGTGCAACCTTACAGACTAGATGTACACTCCTGATCCGGGAACAAGTTCTTGTCTTCCTTGGCCCTTGACATGGAACTTCTCAACCTGGTGAGCAGACTGTTTCTCGATCTGCTGGAAAAAAAAAAATGTACAGGTGTGAGAAAAAATGCCAGGATAAGTGTGACATTTAGTGAATATAATGTGGATATTTGTTATGCCAGTTTAAATTATAACTGCTCATTTTCCCTTGATAAAC